TTGAGACAGTCCTGCCAAAGAACAAAAAAATACTATAATTTAATCAAACAGATTTCCACCCCTGAAGATCCTAAGCAAAATAAGAGAAGGGTTTGCCATATTTTGAAGCTATGTTCCCAACTGAAGCACAACAAAGCAAGGCTGACATTGCAAATACCCTTCGGACAGAAAGCAGCCAACGTTGGCTTAATTTTTTTCCCCCAAAAATGAGGAAATACTTTGATAAGTGAAACAAACCCTCACAGTTGTTATTGAACAATCTTACTATCCCTCCTTGCATGGTACCTCAGGAGCCACGAGATGCTCCCATAGCCTTACCAGCCTCTGCAGTCTAAAAACCTCACTTCTCTTAGGACCAGCTTAAAGACTATCCATTAGTGCCCACGAAACCAAAGTAACTAAAAAACTGCATCTTTCTCATAACACGTATCAGTCCAAGCCACCTATTCCCACACACATTTATGCCTTAGAAGTCGTACCTGCAGAGAGCATGTGTTCTTGGAAGGGATGGGCAGGGAAAGAACAGTGAAGCTCTCGGGTCGATTGGTGGTGGTCTTGCATTCCAGACACGTGATATCGTAACTGAGCTGTCCCTCAAACAACTGTGTGACAATAGATGTTTCGCTGACGCTCCCTCTGCTTGCTTTTGCATTGGCTATATGTCTGTCTCTGCTTGACTGTAGAGAAAGAAAAAAAATTAGCAAACTGTAGGTAACCGACTGTTTCACAAGTGCCTTCAGTGGGTTTCAATGGTCACTGCCCACTGCCTGTGTAGGCCAGTAGTTAGTATTGCCACAGGATGTGGCTCTAAAATGCTATTGCTTTACCTAATGTTTCACCAATGCAGAGTAAGGTAAATCCTTTTCTGAGAGGAAATTAAACAAAAATATAATATAATATTCTGGATATTAGACGGGAGTGATTTAACTGCTAGACAAGCTCTTTATCAGTGGATCTGAAGAAGAGAAAGGAAGACATGGAGGCACATGAAGATTTCAGGCAGATGAAAAAGGGGACAACGTAAAGCATGGAAGGAGTAAGGAGAGGGAGAGGCAAGAATAATGTAGCTACAGACAGCGTTACAATTCAGATGGGGACTGCAATTTGATACAGCATCAGACAAGCAAATGAATTATTGTGTGTACACGGGTATGAAACAGGAAAGAAATGACAATTTTAAGCAGCCACATCATGTAGTTTGGAAGAGAAGGATAGGCAGTTATTACATGGAATGCTAAATCATGAAATGCAAAGAGGAAACAGCTATGGTCCCCAAAACACTGCAGCTGAGCTCTTACCTTCTTGAGAGCCTCATGGAGCTCACTGAGCACACAGATCAGAAACTCCTGCGCATCCTGCTGAGTTCTCTTGCTAAAAGTTGGGTACCGCTTCCCAAGGGCTGAATGAAAATCCCTTGGGGAAACACAGTCAAACTCTCCACACCACATATCGGACATCAAACAGCCAAAGGCAGTCGCAAACTCACCATTCTCCCTTGGAAAAAGTAAACATAAGTTTCAGGTAAAGTACGGAAAGATAGTGGCTCTGCTTTCAAATAGGAGTATAACATGTAAACTTAGAAAAACATACACAGATACAGTATGGCTCTGGCCGCCTCGTTTGGTTTGAGGGATTCTAAAGATACTAGAAAGTAGAAGACATCATCAAGACAGCAATGACAGTAACTGGTATTACCATCAAAATGACAAAAAAAGTATAATGCTTAAGTTACCCAGCAAGGAAACGACTCAGGGTCTCAAAGGAAGGCGAAGGAAATCAGCTTGTGGCCAATTTGACTGTTAACGACTGTAACTGTCTGGTGAGAAGCTGGTAGGTGGCTGCCTCGGACATTCTCATGGCAACACATGTTTTGGAAGGGAAAATGGCAGCACTGAGCAGAAAAATCTAAGTAGTGCGAATAAATCAACTTACTCGCATAGGGCTGTTTTGTACTTTCCCGAGAGGAAATGCTCCACGAGCGGTGGCACGCTGCAGAGGCACTGCAAAACTGCGTTCATGTAGCATGTGTTGCCCAGATTCCACAGGCCAGTGAGCCCTGGGCACTGCCTCTCCGTCTCCTCCATCGGTTCTTTGCAGGAATTCTTCACATCTTCCAAGGAAACAGAGTCATGCTTCTGCTTACTAGGAAAAAAAAAAACAAACATGGCAGTGGAAACCTAAAATGCTGCAGTGCTCTTTGAATTATGTTTTTTAGAAAGTAGTACTGTCTTGAGGAGATGTTTGCTGCTGTTTCAGCATCTTCTTCATAAGCCGCGTTCACGTTCACTTTCATTAAGCTGATACAATGGTAAAGACTCTGTCTCCCACACTAAGCTCTTCCCAGTATGGCGAGATACATCATTAAAAGATATTACTTAAATACCTGAGGTTTTAGAGCTATTCCTAAAATTCCACTCAGTCTTTGATTCCATACACAATTATTCAAAAACTATAACCAGCTGTAAACAGCTATCTTAAGCATTTCACCCTACAGAACTTGTTATATTTAATTTCCTCTGTATTTTACTACTTATCTATTTTCTAAAACCATAGGTTGCAGTGCAGACGCAGGTTGCTCTTCAGACTTTTTCCATAAAATGCCACTTAATTCACGTTAAGGAAATTGGAGTAGGTTTGTTTTCTTGCTGCACGAGTCTGTCCTGGACCAAACTGTCTCCGTCCCCAACTAGGAAGAAGAGAGGTCTGAACACAGACCCTGCACAAGCCAGATGTGCTTGCTGATGTTGCCTTTCTTGAATTTTTTGAGGCTGCTATTTTATTCTGATGCGGAAGGAGGGAAAATTCTGCAATTTTAACAATCTTTGCAGAATGAGAAAAGCCATTTCTTTCCCTTCAGCTCAACAATATGTGCCCAAGTTCCCGTTTCTGGAGATCTCCCAGGCTGACAGCCATCTTCTATCATCTAATAGCTACAAAACAACTATAAAACCGTTTCCTTTTAAATTTCAGTAATAGCAGAGCCTGTATTTCCAAACAGCTCTACCTACAGACCAGTCTCCTAGGAAAATGCTTAATTCCATCTTTTATAGCCATCTCCAAGAAACACCGACTACGTTTGGACTGTTGGGTGTGGAAGGTGGCTGGGACGACACCGGCACCCTCAGAGGGAGCCTGCACTGGCCCCAGCTCAGGGAGGCTTCCACTTGCCCTCTTTTCTTCATATCGTCACCCTTCCATCCAGTTTCATGGCATGACTCGCACGATCTCACGTGTCTCATCCCGGATCCCTGGCTCCCCTCGACCCGTCGCTTTGTGATGTCGTTCTGTTCCGCCAGTTCTCATCCAGGGGAACATGGCTGCCCCACCAGCCTCCATCCTCTTCCTACGCACCACCCAAAACAACCTCAGGAAGAGACGGGCACCTGCCAATTCCCCTGGGCAGAGAGTTTCAGCCTGACCTGTGTTTATCCATGTGTGCTCGCACTTGTAACAGCGTTTATTGCTGCCATGCTCCGATGGAAGGGCAGTGATGACTGAGGCTGTTGACCGTGAAAAGGTAGAACTACCTCAAAACATCACGTTGAACTAGTTTATTGGTGTTCAGAAAATTTTCCTGAGAAAAAAGGGGTAGTGGTAGAGAAGTGTCTTTTTACTTAGCTAACGAGACAGTGTAGTTGATCTCTGAATTTCATACACCACTGAGGAGCAGCAGGTTGTCTCTATTTAATATACAATTTCGGAAGCAACAAGTATCCACAGAAGAGGCCCAGGAAGCCATCAAAAACATCCCTAATTATCTTGTTAAGCTTCAAGCAAAGGATGTCACCCAGCACTCTTTGGACAGCTTTACCTGGGAAATTAATAGCAGTGACAGCAAACTGTGTATCTGCAAACTGAGTATAAAAGCAACACACACTCCCACCCCTACTACTCAAAATCTGACCTACAACATTTTTGTAAATGTACCTGTATTATTGTACATATTTTACCAAGAGTTCCAAATGTTTTAAAATCTAAATTATAACCCCCTGGGTTAAAAATAAAACTTTCAACAAATAAGTGTGAATTTCTGAATACATACCAACATATAAGTATAATTTTGTTGAATCTCAATTAGCGAGGAATTCAATCCTCCCTCTTTCTGCAAATGTATTCAGTTCAAACATGCAAAATGACTGGTTGAAATCCACGGTGTTTTCCCCCATGGGGCTGCGATTGTTTGTACCTAGACGGAGGTACTTTGTCAAAAGGCTACAGGTGAAACGCAGAGACAAGTACACGTTGCAGATGTATCCAAAGGCCTGCTGCATAGCACCTGCAGTTGCTTGGTTTGCTTTGGATAACTGCAATACACTGGACGTTTCCATGACACAGAGAGTATTACACACTCTTACCCTCATTCTCTGTGCAGGTACAGACTGAAGCCTGTAATACATCTGTATTCTGTACAGAAGTACAGGACTTTTGTAAATTCTCTGACAGCCTCTTTTGATGGAGCCTTCGTTCTCATTTCCATGACAGCATCTCCAACATTTCCATGTGATTCCAAGGCCTCTTGCTTATCCCTGCAGCCCTTCGCAGGGGGGTGGGTGAGGGTGGAAAGCATGAATGAACTTCTAATGATGTACATGTGGTGGTTTAGGCCAGCCAACAACTAAACACAGAGCTAACAGAAGTTCCAACGCTGCTTCTACTTTCCTCCTCTTCAGTAATTTAAAGGAAATTTAAAAGCTGAAGGATTACAACTCTTCTCTATCGACAGAGCACTTCAAGAGCGATGGGGTTTCAGCAGAGGGAGTGACACTTGATGTTCTCAACCAAATTGGTTGAGGGGCAACCTTCATGTTCCTACAGCCTGACATCAATAGCACATGGTATTATCCTAACATGGTCAGGCTACTTCTTCAAAACAACAACATCACACACACTCCTCACACAAAAATCACACACATCTGTTTATTTTGTTAAGAAACGGGTCACAGGCAAAATTACTGATGACACCTATCATGGTTGTAAAAGTTAACTGTGCATTGTTAAGTATTAGTCAGGAAACAAAAAGTTTCCTATCTTGTACTTATAATTTTCCCAAAATGTTTTTCCTATTTCATACATTGAATTTGGTCACATTTTCACACCTGAGGCTCCTCTGGAAACCCCTCTCAATTTGAAGAGTCAGCCTCACTTACCGATTAACTGTTGCAACTACTTTGCTAGGAATATAGCATTAAAAAAGCGTAAGTATGTCTTGAATAACTGCCCATTACCTCTCAGCAACAGAAGGGGATGCAGTCAGGCATTTACAAAGCAGCTCCTAATTCAAAACAAACATTGTAAAGAGCTTTAAAATATTTTTATCTCATTTACTCATTAGCCCCATTGGACATGTTTGTCTAATATGACAGTTTTCACTTCCACACACACCTCCCCTCCCTCCCAAGTTTCTGGTGTTAGCCAAACTTGAGATACCTCAAAGGTGGACAACCACTTTGATCCAGCACGGCAAATTGTACTTTTCTGCATAAAGAGTTACTTAAATTCACCCATATAACCTTTCAGACTAAGACGGACAGCAGAACTCTGTAAACAAGAATAAATTTATTTTAGATTCTTTAAAGATTTAACGATATACAAAATGTATACAGTATCATATCCTTATAACATTTTACCTTTCCCCATCAAACATAAAACACCATTTAAACAGCTATTGTGTTCGTGCCTTAGGTCTGTATCTATAAGATACACTACTGAATAAAAAAATTTATAGAGCTATATACTGCCCTTTTAATTAAAAATTACAAATTAGTACCTATGTAACAAAAAAATCGCAGCATGAAACTTCAGTTGGACAACAGGTTTTTCTTGCTGAATGCTCAACAATATTTGGGACAGTTAAATTACATTTTATTGGCATGAAGGTGCATTGCAATCTCCCGTACTTTACATAATGCTAATCCAACCCTAGTCTCTCTTAAATAAGTACCACAAATAACATAACATTAAAGATGCTTTCTACACAATTTTAAATACATTTAAAAGTTATGTGTACATTCGGTTTTGATATACTGGTTTTACAAATCTTTGGAAGGCATAATTTCTGAAGCAGTCACTACATACGAGGAAAAGCACTTCCAATTTGTGTTCTTACAAGGCAACTTATTTGGACCAGTACATACAATGTCTTCTATTAAATATGATTATACCAGTCTATCATGGCTTTGTTACTATTTCATGGTGACTTGATAAAATTGAAATGTATAAAACAAGAAATTTCATTATGCACAATTAGGGCTCTATTAAAAAAAAAAAAAAAAAAAATCACAAACAGCTTTACAGCCATGAAGCTGAATCCTAATTCAGGAGACTCTCCCTCTCTCTCTCGGAATAGATCAAGTTCCTACCTTCAACCTCAGCCTACTGGCATCATATGTACACCTCATTTGGCTCTGTCCTCTTCAAAAGGCCAGTTTAAAAGACATCTGGTGAGAAAACATTAGTGGAACACTTCCAAAAATGCTCAAAGAATACTCTGGCATTACAGAGGTAGGTGCTTTCTCCTGTCTTTTGCTGATTGACAGTAAGACAGCTGCCAAATAGACAAATGCTTCACCTTAAAACATCAGCTACCAAAATCCTTTTGGTTGAAGGCATATTGCACACCACAGGTCTACAGAGAGAAAATCCTCCACTAAACCAAAACAAAATAAAAAATAAACCTTCTGCTAAAAAGCCCCTTTAAAAACATATCTTGAATACTTGTCATTATTCAGCCTTTAAAATTATCAGCCACTGATCTGTCCTCTGTAGATGGTTATCACAAGTTGTTAGGTCCTTAGATTATGGACCAGTCAAAATTCCACTTAAGACAGCAAACCTTGTTTGGACATATCTTTCTTTTAATTATACTGAAGGAAAGATAAGTGACAACTTTGTGACATTCCATGAAGTTTGGATGAAGCCACTGATTTGGTCACATCATTAGAGCATCAGACGAATAGAATTAGCTGAATCGGATTCTTTGGTGCAGCTTCCAGGCTGAATTGTCAATTCAGGGGAATCATCCTGAGGAAATATTATCTTGTCAGGTGTGTAATCATTCCTCTTGAGATCTGTACAAACGAAATGAAGTCATACTGATTACTACTTCTTGAGCTAGTAGAATCAATGTGGCATGAAAGTCTTTCAAAGAATTGGGCATACATATGTGCTTGTAAAGAAGAATTTATCAATATGCACTGTGTCAAAAGAGGATATTTTTATCATACATGTAATTGGAAGTCTAAAGCTCTGCTTTAAAAAGTGATGGAAACTTCAGAATTATTTTATTTATAGATACTATAGCAAGTATTGAGTCAACTTTCCATAGAAATCAGATCCTTCCATGATCTCCTTTGATGTTTTCAGGATTTAAAACTCAAATTTAAAATAAATGATCTTCTTCATGTGAGAAACAACCTGAAAGAGAAGTGTGAAACAGGCAGGAAACATGCAAGTTCCTTATGTGTTCTGCTGGAGTCTAAAAGCCTGGTAACAGAGAAACAAATTCAATATTTGAGATGAGTGTAATGTAGTCCACACAGCAAAAATATCTGGAACTGGAAGTTTTTAACAGAATGAATTTCTGCAGACCTAGACATGTGGGGTTTTTTTTAAAAATAAACAACAACTCTCCAAAACCAACAAAAAAAACCCAAACAACAAAACATATTTAAAAAAAAAAAAACACAAATAAACCATAACAATTAAAAAAAACCCAAACAAAAATCACACCAAAAAACACAAACATCATTTTGTTTAAAATGCAGTCACCTTGACCTGCTTTTCCTACTTTTTCTAGGAACATTTACCCTTTTACTGTACTTTCTGAAGTCTCGATCCACCTAGTCTGTCCTCCTCCAATACTGTGCATATGGATATAGAACAGATGCACGCTCTTAATTTCTTCGTCTAGAATTTTAATCTTAAAATGGCCTGTCATTTTATACGTTAAATTACAAAGCTACTGTTTATTACTTATTCCACTTTCACGGCATAATGTAATTATTTCATTACATATCCTACAACATTTCATGACATGAGTGTCTCAGAAGAAGAAATACAGCAACTCTTACCAGGAAGTTTAAGTTTCCTGCAGCAGGAATTACAGTGATGCTTCGCTCTGAAGTTTTTTATTGCATCCTCTCCCAGATTGGCCGGACCAAACACCATATCATATGACCTTAGAAATAAAGTGCATGTAAACATGGGTTGCATGTGTTCTCTGGTGAAAATTCTCTAATACTTTTCTTTAAATCCTTCTTTAACCTTACCTTTTTTCTCCAGCTTTTATCACAGAGGGATCTGTCAAATTTTCACCAACACCTTCAGACAGCACATAAAGAAAAAGTTAAATCTGACACATTACATAAATGCATTAATATTGAAAAGCCTTGGCATCCTCAACTATGACTTCTCAGCTTCCCCGAGAATAAAAGCTGGATGGAGGGGGAGCGGGAACTCAAACGATACGAGATACTCTGTAACCTTACAAAAATTGCTCCTAAATGAGCACTTCGTAATTCTCAGATTTCTTCTACCTCTTTTTACATCTGCCTGCAACTCCGAACTTTAGTTTTCACCTGTGAGAAAGAAGGTTCCTTTATAGTTCTCACAGCCACAACCCCTGACACACAATTCAGGATAAATATAGCTTACCATACTGACACTACACAAATGTGCCAAAAAATAGAACTTTTTATGGCGCATATCCTTAGGAAAATATTACGTATTTATATTCCCTGTGTTGCTGTAAGACTTAATGCGACATTAAGACAACCATAGATTCAGATTAACTAGACGAAGATGCACTAAATAATGCTTGTCATTTATTACAGGCATATGAATTCTTAATAAAACACTATCACAAAAGAAGAACCCACATACATCTACCTCGGCCCCAGCCCCAGTTTCAAAATAAGGACACTACCTTGCAGATCTAGTACCAACAATTCTCCTCTTGTATACTCATATGTCCAATGGCTGAAAGCTAGCATAACCTCCTCTAGCATGTTAGTTGGAATTATTTCATCACCATTATTGTTGTTGTATTTTCTAAACTCTCCAGTCATGCACTCTTCAACTGCAAACCACTGGCCAGCAGAGTGGCAATATAACAGGAAAACTTCCAGGAACCTAGTGAAAAGCATACTTAATGAATATATTTCCAAAATAAATAAAAATCTAGTAGTAATAATATATTTGCTATTTGATTTACTAATAATTTAAGTAATTTGAAATTATTACATGAAGCCATTTATATTATCACAGTAGGCTAGAATCAGTGCAAAAAGCATCAATAGAAAATACTGCCAAGGACAATTCTGCTTGACACATTCAATGTTGTGAGACGTATCTTAACGTATCAGTACCTTAATATATTTGATCCACCTTTTTAACAACCCTGTAGGCATTCTTCTATGTCAAAAGCATGCAACATAATGGAAGTTTAAATACACTCACCTTGGAGAGTATGGAATGGATTTGGGCTTCATTTGATTGAAAGCAAAGGTGAGCTTCTGAGCTGCCCTCTGCTGTTGGATCTCCTGCAAAGCAAAGCCCATATTTCATCAGCTGCATTACATGACAGGGAACATAAAGGAGCCAAAAAGGCAGCAGGAACAGTAAGTGTCTATTCCTCCAAGACAGTGTAACTAATTACTTGCTTTTTAAGCTACGTCTACATTTTAAGAGTTTGAGTTCTTTGATTAAGTAAACCATACTGGAGCAGAGTTTTTAACCCTTTAGCTCATAGAGAACCACAGACTAACCTTTTTTTTTTTTAAATAAGTATATACTAGTTTTCAAGGGGGTCGGGGGGAGAAACCCTGTTCAACATGTAATATCTGTCTATGTTTAATAATTAACAAGGATGAAACTTACTCTCAAGCACAAGTGTAACACAGTGTCCTCCTTATAAATGCTTGACCAAGTATTCACAACTTCAGGAAGAAAAGACTTGATGATATAAAGATGTCCTGATTTCAGGATATCATATTCTGACCATGTGCATACTACTTTAAGGGCTCGACGTAAACCTCCTCCCATCTCCTCTTTACTTAAAAATTCAATTTTAGCACAGAGTCCTAGTTGCGACCAGGAAGACATGCTGTTGTTCAAGATGCTGGGAGAACTTTCTTCGAGGCGATACACAGTGACTGGTTCACCTACATTACAATATAAAAAGCAATTACTGCATTTAATTTTCCAAGTTTAAAATTAAAAGCACTGAAAACCTACAGTTTCTTAGATTTCAACTTCCTGCAATATTAAGTTGTTACTAACATCCTGAATTAACAAAAAAAAAATTTAAACTGCCCAGCGGAAAGACCTGTCTCCAACTTCTTTCATACAGCAGCGAAGTAGTACAATGGTTTTGTCTTAATTAGAACTATTAATGACACTGTTCAAACAGCATTAAGAACACTGAATAAATGTTTGTTTACACTTTGTAGGAGTCAAGACAAATTAAAGTAATCCTTACAGAATAGCTGGTTATAAAAACCACTAGTACACTACTGTCATCACTGTACTACTATTTCTGAGGACACCTAAAATTAAATCTAGATTTTCTAATCAAGTGAGCTGCCCTAGAAAAGGTATCACACTCATTTATATTTTTGAGTGCTACAAGACAGACACTAGACTACTTTTAGTTCACTAAAGCTTTAGTTTCACACTTGCTGGGAGCAAGAGTGAAATTTGGCTTGATTATTCCGTATTAGAAGGAATCTGTACAGAGTTCACTTTTGTTTTCTTCCCCAAAAGACTATAGTGAACCAGCAACAAGAAGTACAATTCTTACCTCTGGGAGGCACAGGAGTGAATGGAATGCTCTGTGATAATCTCATCAAGTTATTTCTTTCTACAGCTAGAGGAAAATTACAGCATTTGTTAAAAGTTTAAGGATCTAGTAAGTGTCATTAAAAATATGTGCATTAGTTCATAAGAGGGACTGACCTGAGTAATAGTAATTGATATCCATGATAGGCTTGAAAGGAGAAGCAATGCCTGAAAGATTAAAAATTTAAAAAAAAAAAGGAGATACTGCCTGCTACCTGTATTGTATATTAAAGTCACCACATGCAAAGAACACTCGCCAAGTAACTATAGTTTGAAAAAGATTTGCTGTGCAGAAAATTAAGGATCATGCTTAGCTCTTCAGTACCTCAGGTGTGAAAAAAAAAAAAAATTGTAGTGCTCAATAGTAGGCTATTTATTTTAAAAATAATTAAAAAACAAAAAAATCACACTATTATGTGTCTGTTAAGTTCCAACTTATCAATAGTTAACACATTCTCATACAAGACCCAAAAGTTGCTTATATGAAAAGCTCCCAGTTTGTGTATAGCAGGAACAAACTTACCATTCAATGCATCTTCTTCAGATGGCCTGTGAAATGCCACAAAACCAACAGTCATTGCTTCTTAAAAACTTATTTTTTTGTTCACTGATTCTGACACATCATCCTAGGTCACCTTGTTAACCTCACAGCACTGTTTTTACCCTATTTTTCAAGGGCAGTACAGGTTTTTTAATTACAAAACAGTACTGGAAGGCTGTTAAGTAATCTCATGGTTTTAGAGCTATACTTTAAATACTACCAAGTCACGTACAGCATTATGTAAAGTTTGCATCACAAGAGCTCATTCCCACAGAGGTGTTTTAATTAAACCTTGTTCACAACAGCTTACCCTTCTGTTATCAGATTAATAAGGTAATGGCTTGAACAGTTAACTCAGGATAATTGTTAACACGAGCAATGTCTGCACCATTTCAGAGAAGGTTTACAGTCTGAAAGGTTGGGTAAGGACCTTTACCAGGAAGCTGGCTCCTTAATAAGTGTCAACACAGTAATTTTCATTTAGGGCATGTTTTGCCCTCTGACATGTGACCTCACTACTCTAAACAGAACCTGTCAAAGCATTCCAGTGAACATATTCAGTTATTTATTAGGGAAAAAAAAAAATCTTAAATCTTGTTTTTTCATTAAACACAACTGAATATCGCTATAGCCAAAGACAACAACGAAAAGGAAAAACAAATCAAAATACAAAGTATTAAAATTGCTCAATTAGTAGCAAGTTTACTTACATTTGACTGCTATTTGCAGGTCTACCTTGCAACCAATCCTTTAAAACAAGGGAGAACAAAACCAAAGGTTTCAGTTTTGTAAGGAAAACAGTATATTTAATTGGAGGTGAGGCGGTACTGTGTTTTTAAGATCTTGCAGTACAGTCTGTTTATCAGAATACTGCACCAGGCTGTAACGATCTGCCGTTGAATGGAAAGACTCAAATACAACTGAGGAATGGTAACTACAGTTAAAAGAACAGATAAGGCTATATATTCACTACTCTTTTATTGATTATACAAATAACTCGTCTTAAAGTGGTTTTTTGTATAAATAGAAAGCAGCATGTTTTCATAGTGAGAACATGCACAATACAAAGCAGAGAACAAGCACAACTTCTTCCCTCAGTCAAAATAACTCCTCTCCTGTTGCCTCCTTGAACAAATGAGTCCACAAATCAGTATTATTCTTCACACAATCTGCTTCACCTCCTTTATTTGTTTACAGTTTCTAGTTCTGCTTAACAATTAAAAAAAAAAAGGATACAAACCGTCAGTAAGGCTGCTTTGGAGTCTGCTTGCTGAGTCTCTTCACTTGATGCTCTTCTACTCTTGCTGTACACTGTGAATGAAAGAGATTCGTAACTGGACAAAGAACGGCACGTGCCATTGTTACTTGCCTATTTTCTAACAGGGTGAGCAACTAGACAGCTTAATGTGGCTCTCATAAAAAAGCCTGATCCACAGCTATCAGATCTTTTGACGTTTCCAGCACAGTCCTGACTAGAACACTTAGCTTTTTATGATTCTAGCTATCCCTGGCAAACGCAAGGTAACGGAGTTAAGCTGGCCTGACAAGAACAGCACAATGAGACACAGGAGCAGATTCAAGTACCACCAATCATGAAAATATTTCAAGATGCTTTAACTTTTTGTGTTTTCTTTGTATCTTCTTAGAATATGCATTATCAACACAATTTAGAGATAAAATTGGGCCACCTGAAAAAATGTCACACTTACATTGCTCTGAATGGACTGCCAGAGGGTCAGTAAACCCACTGCAAGAACTAGATTGTCTTAGACCACGGTCAGTTTGAAGATCCTACAAAAAAAAAAAAAAAAAAAACCAAAACACACATATCATTAGTGATCATTATAATTGTTTTCAACTACTATTTTTTTTTGCACATGATCTGCCCAGTTTCTTTTCTAGGGCTACCTAGGATTTTTTTTTTTTTTTTAAGAAAAAAAAAAACACACCCTGAACTTCTGGATGTACCTCAAATACCTTGCTGCAAAATAAACGCACAAGTTGAATGCATAATCCCGTTCTCTTCACAGTAACCATCAACTCCAGCGCTTTCAGGTGCACGTTAAGACTACTGACCCATACCGAAAGAACCCTTTTAAAGAGAAAGTTACAATAGGATACATCTACAGAAACATACATTACACTGGATCTCTGCAAGTTCACCTACTGTCACATGCCTTTGTTAACTACCAATTCTCCTTGAAGAACTTGGCTTTGACAGAAACTAAAGTTCAGTTTGAACCCACTGAAAATAGGCCACAAAAATCTACAGTTTATGAACGGAATTTCCTCATGGACATATTTCTCAATAATAATCACTTATTTTCTGAATATTTGATGAGGTGGTCAGCTTTTGACAACAAAATATTTCTTTTACAAAAAAGGAGAAAGGCAGCTTCATCACAAACTAGAACTACATGTAGACTGGCATAGGGCTGGAACATTCCTCATAGCCAGCCTATTAATTCCAGTGGTTACCTGAATAACATGCAAATACAAGATTTTGAAGAATAAAACACTAGAACTTGGAATTGAAGTAGGGCATAACATTCTAAGATTTAAAACAGTAAGGAATTGTTACCACCCTTTTTCACCCCTCCCTCTTAAGGTGTACACTCCCACACACCCCTAAACACGTACACATATGCCTGCACGTATGTATGTTTTCGAAATGTGTGTCTACCTATGTACCTACGCACACACACGTGTGTGCATGTCTGTATAAGCATGGGTATGTATATATATAAGAGAAAAAGAGTGTGTGTGTGTATATACACATACATGAGAGAAAGACTTATTTCTTTACATCCCTAAACATAAATACTTCACTGGAATGCAACACAGACAATGCACCTGCTGAAAGTGTCTTCTGAAGACCCATTTTCAGGTCTATATGCATTTCAGTGCTCAGCACAGATCTTCAGCATCTTGCAATCAATGACTGTAGTGCCTATACGAAAGGTAAGAATCAAACCAGACCCACCATTTAAGATGGGACAACTCTATTGCTAATTGTTTAAGAACAGTGGTACTGCCTGGAAACACTACTGGAATTTGTACGCCAATATTACCAAACGCTGGAACTATTTAGACCTAAGCCAAGGAGACATCCAGCAGAATTCAAGCAAAGGTTAGTCTGTCCAATTCCTTCCCCCCACCCCCATCCCTCCCCATCCCGTCCTTTGGTGTTTTTTTTTTTTTTTTTAAATCATGACCAGGGTTTACTTACAAATGACATAAGAAAACAGAGTTCCCTGTCTTCGCTGTAAAGAATACATTCTGTATCTGATGAAAATAACGTCTCTAATAAACAGAAATCTTCTTTACTTACTTGAAGTCTGTTTGTTTCTATGCCCTCCAATATAGCTTTTTTGAAGTCTTCCTGTTGCTCCTATTAAAAAAAAAAAGCAAGTTGTAAACATTATTACTGAAAAACCCATGCCAAAAATACACACACAAAAAATCCTTTTTGGTCACACATTATACTTATCAGCAGATCCAGAAGGAGCAACTCAGCAGAACACTGACACTACAAATGGCCATAATCCAATTCTCAAGTCAGATTCTCCCCTGAATGAGGGGTAACTGCAAACAGTAACTTATATTTACTAACAGTTACAGTGAGGAAAATAGTTTTTTCATATCTACTATTGCACTTGGAGGGCAGGTTTGGCATGATTAATCACTTTCCATTTAGCTATTTTTCTTATTCTGTAAGAAAACTGAAATGATACATCGTTTTAGTTTATTTATTCCTTTTCTTCTTGGAAGCACACTGAAAAATTTTTGTCACTTTTAAAAATCATATACCCTACCATCTTGCCCTATAAAATATCATATAAATCATCGAAATCTTCCTAAATGCTGATCTTGAAATTTATGAGCGTCGAACGTTTCATTAAACACTAATTATGGGATTTATAATTTTATCTTAATTCACAGTTGTAGTCACTGCAGCTTTCATAACCTCAGATCTTGTTTAATATTTCATTAGTACCATATTATGAAGCAACAGTACTCAATGTGTAGTTAAAGTTGCATGAGTTTTCACTAGATTTTTTTTTTTTTAATCACAATACAGATATACATTCCTTCCAGGCTGCATTTTGCACATTCTTTGATTATATTTAGAATCATAGAATTTATTAATCATAGAATCTATTTGCTCTTAGACTTTTTCAAAACATATTGTGAAGTTACAGTTTAAAAAAAAAAGTTATCCCCATTAACATGTTTGACAGCAAGTCTTCCACGCTTACCTCAATATCGGCACTTCTTTCTTTAACTTTGCTTGCTGCCTCCTTAAACCGCTGTAACTCCATGCTGTCTCTGTGACCTTTGACACAGTGAATTGAAAAAGAGGATTCAAAAATCAAAAGCAACTTCCTAATGGTCTGACCATGCCAAGTGTGCATCACCACAGCAAAGGGTTACAAACCATCTAAGCTCTGTGTGCCTGTTTGCACTAGAGAAGACTTTCCAAACACACTGAAGTAAAAATTGGTATAAGAAAATATTACGATGAAACCATTGCTTTTCCTGCATTAAGAAGTAGATTACCACAATTCAAAAAGTAAAACTAACATTTTAAAATTTTACTCAAGCATATGCTCCTCACATGAAAGGACTAGGGCAGTTTGAATTCCACTATTTTTATATATGTATGACAAATGAAGGAAAAGCAGACAGTTTTCTTGAGGTAGCTTTTACAATATACTCTTCGTCCTCCCAGTTATAAGAAATACTTTTCAGAATTTGACCAAGTGTGTGGCTTTATAATGAATGAAAACCTACTTGGCTTCTCAATGGAAAGCTGCACCGTATCAGAAGTTTTGTAAAACATGGACAGAAAGAACAAAGAGTATGTTCTAAATGCTAGAGATGTCAGAGGACCACACACTAAAAATTTGACTCCAGTAAAATAAGTATAGTTAGTATTCAAAGTTATTAGTGGTGAAGAACTACTAAAGATTAGATAAGATTTATACAATCACTGTCCACTATTTCTGTTTAGTCTTGCTTTCTGAATCTAAAATAAGTTTATCATTTTCTCATAGTTTAAAAAAAAACAAACAAATAGCTAGTGAGTGTACAAATGTGTAGATACTCTTCCTATACACACACAAATCTAAAAATACTAGTGCATGTAGGTAACTTCTTAGAACTCTCAAGTTTCACAGCAGTAGGATAAACTCTGGTCTAAAGATTTAAATTTTTACATCCTCAACAGACCTTTGGAAAACACTAAGGCACCCCCGAACAACTGGGACAAGACACCACCTCTGCAGGCAACCTGACAATTCCAGATAGTGATCTTCTGCTACGCACTACCCGTACTTCAAGCATTATCTACTTTACAGAAATCAGTTAGTAAACCCACACCTGTGTTTTGCAATGAATCTGCCACTGTTTTACCATTCAAATACGTAGGCGACTCTACCCAAAAACGTGCACCTTTTTACTGTTAAGCAAAACTTGAGGGGAGGCATAATGCTGTATTTAATAAAAGGACTTTGGAAGCTTCCAAAACGACTGCCAAAAGATGCGTTAGCCTAAGCAACAGTGGAAGATCCCAGTTACAACAGTGTTTAGAAACGTAGTATAGGAGGATCCCTCAGCTTGACACAGATACCACAAAGATACTTGTCCAGGATTCCATCAGCCTAAGAAGTCTTCCGTAATTACGTCAAGAAATAGACAATATTTTTAATTTATGCAATGAGAAGGTAGGAGCTTTATGAGTCACAGAAAGTTTGTTTACAATGCCCGTACCAAGTTGTAGAGCTGCTAATTGCACAAAACTGCTATACTCAACAACTGGCTAATGTTTTTCGGAAAAATATTGTCTATGTGACAGAATTATAAAGAAATTATAATTTAATTAAAAAAATTCAAGCAACATAGGGAAATTAGAGATGTTAAAAAGCAAAAAAAAGCAGAGTAAAATGGTAAAGTCACCTGCAACCGGAATACACCCAAAATACTATACAATTCTTGATAAGTCAAACCTTGTGGCTTAGATTTGGTCCACAGTTTATGAAGTAGTCCCATAAGGATGTTAGAACATAAATCTTGGTTTTGTAGTTCCATTGCATGGACATGCTGACTTTTGGCAAGTTCATCTTTAATATTCAATTTTCCATGTGAGCCGCCACGGTTGACTGTTGACGTCAAGTCGCCAGTTGACAAAGAGAACTTCGTTTGGGGGTTGCTCTTCGGTAAGTTGACAGAGGACTGGTGATCATATTTGTCAACTCTGCAGCTGTAGTTATCATTAGTGTCACTCTCATCATGAACAAAACCACAATTAACGTATCCTCCATTTTCAACGCAAGGTTGGGTGAAAGCAAGGCAAGCAGAGCCAGAAGCAAGAGGATAAGAGCAGCTAATAACGGCTTCAGGACATTCAGAATCTACTTTGTTATACTTACCCACAAACGCACCAAATTCTACATTATTATCTCCTTCTGTAGCCTTAGAGAAAACAGTCTCTTCACGCTTTGCTGAGGAATCCAGCTGACTTTTGCAACTGGGCCGAGATGGAGTGCTAACAAAAAACTTAGCTGTTGGGGATGTTACATGTGGCATGCTGTTGGATGAATTGCCTAATTTTTTACTTTTACTAATGGATTTTGAGATCTCTGCAGCCTGTATTCGTTGGCGAAGTTCTGGAGGAGAAACGGCATTTGAAAATAAGGCACTGCCTGAGGAACCTGCCTCTTGAAAGTTTATTTCTTCTCTTCGGGGAACTGGAGCTAGCTCCTGACCAATTGTCTTATGTTGGACTTCTTTTTCATCACGTATAGAAATGTTACAGAGCAAAGCATTATTACTTTCAAGTCCTCCTTGTGGAAAAGAACCGAAGACGTTTCCAATGCTGTGCTTTTTCCACACAGATGATCTTAGAGAGCCATCCTCAATGAGGTTTTGTGCCAGATGTTTTGAAATGCTCAATTCCCGTGTGATTTCATTATGAACCTTGCTAGCTTCTGAAGCTTTCTGTGCAGTCAGTGTTTTCAGCGTATCCACAGTCAGAGCAGAGAGATCCTGTAGGTGGCCAATCTGTGAATCTAAAGACTGTAATGACCGTTTTATGTAGTTGACACGATCACCAACTTCCTTTATCTGAATGCACATTTGTTCCACCCTAAGAAAAAACAAATTATGAAGTAGCGACGAAAGGTATTTTCTCAACACACAAAAGAAACATTTTCGCAACCCTTTCTGCCCATTTAATAAGGAAAAAAAACCCTCTGAAATTCCAAGATGGTATACACTATAATAGTGTTGGACTGTTTTGTAATACATTTGTACATACTTCTGAATCACAGAATTAACACGCAACATCAATAGAGGGCCTACAGTACTTTTTCAAATTTATCAGTTTATTAAAATGTCATGAGAAACTAAATAATAAGACTGCCTCAGCTTACTGAGCGCTGCTACAGATCAGGAAGAATCAATCACATTATTAGTTTTTGCATAGCAATGAGAAGACATCATCTAAAGTTGGCATAAATACTTGAGCAGTATTTTACCCCTCCATTAAAGCACATTTAAAGAGCCTGCAAAAGTTCAAAGCTTCTCTATTCATAAATTTTATTTGTAAATTTTCTACCGTTCAAATGTGACTCGAATCCTCTCTTCACTTCCAGAATGAAATTTATCATCCTTTTCATTGAAATACATCTCAACGCACAGCTCTTCAAAATCATGAAGTTTCTTTTGGTCTTCTTCTGTCAGAAAGAGTTCTAAAGAGAGATTGAACAGTTAAGAAGACGCATATGTAGTGAAGTAATACAGCTGCTGGAAACTAGTAGTCACGACTTTACAAAGGGCGTTAAAAATAAAAACCAAAACAACAGAAAAACCACAGTGCCACCAAAGACCCTTCCTCTCTCCTTCCTAGAAGAGATTTAAATGTCAAAGATTTCCACTAAAATAAAAAACAAAATAGTAATTCTGAGATGATCTGTGCACAATATTATCATTCCTTATGCTCCTACCCTCCAATCCGTTTTCTCTGAGGCGGAAGCTAGATTCCTTAGCTAGTTTTTATTATCTGTGGAACCTTCTTTTTTACCTTTTTTTAATTTTCAAAGGGTTTCCAGTAAGAACAGAAGTTTTCCAGAAAGAAAAAAAAAAAAGAAATTCTTCCCTCAATAACACGAACAGGAAATCTAATCTCATTTTTTTGTTTGTCTGTTTTTGTCATAAGTTAGTTTGACTGGAGATTTCTAGGCGCTGTGCATTATACCCTTCATAAAAACACGGGGACTTTGAACAGAATTAGAGTCTAAATCAGTATTAAAAAGACGGAAAACTACGACCTACTTAACTTTCTTAAGAATATACATTAGAACCAAGAACATAGCCCTTTTCTGACAGTTTGCTTTAATCATATCAAAAAAGTTACTGCAATTTTTTTGATAACAACTGTTCATACTTGGCCCATCTGAAGTCTTGTCTGTCTTTCTTCTTTTACATATACAACAGAACAGGGAGGCCATGTGGCTAAGAATAATAAGTGGTGGAGGCAGAACAGGTTTTTCATGGTAGGCCATAATGAAATGATAGCGTTGATACTTCCACACAATGTTTGAAATTGCCTTGACTTGCAAATACACGTTGCTGAAAGGGAACAGAAAAGTATTTAGACATCAAAGGTGGGTTTGGGGTGCGGGAGGGGGGAAGGAAGGGAAGGGGCGGGGGGTTGGTGTTTGTTTTGAAGGCGGTTGGTTTTTTGGGTTTTTTTTAAACACTGACACCAATCTAGAATTTTGAAGCTAGTTAAGTATGAGACAAAAGCACATACTTGGTTTTTACTGCAAAATTATTTTAGTGGAAGTTGGCAACACATTCAAGAAAACACCATGATACAAACAAAAAAGAGGGTTAAAAAAAATGCTTTCATCTGGTAACATTCTCTGTACCTTCCCTCAGAAATATCAAATTTCAAGTCTGTTAAATAAACAAAAAAGTATTTCTAACTAACCCAGATTTTTATATCAGACCACATTAATTCTGCAGTCTGCCATTCTTCAGTGTTAGCGAGCTGCTTATTCCCATAAATCAAACACTTTCAGAGAAACGTAAAAGACAATTTGCTCTACTACGATTCAACTCAACCAACTAGAGAATGATAGCATGAATTCAGGAATACTCAGTATACAGATGAAGAAACAATTTTGTTTGTTTTCTGAAAAACAGAAGTCACAAAACGCTTTCAAATTCTCTTAAACTTCCCGATTCCCCTGGCCTCACGGCTGTGACACATACTAGTCACATCACACACTTCCCTACTTAGTCACGGGCTTGTAGTGACTAAGTGACTAAGACAAAGATCAGTCTTAGAATCTGAAAATACTTTCAGCAGTTAAGATTGCTTTGAACTGGCATCAGTTCTTCTTATTTTGTCATCCTATTCCAGTGAAATAGAAACTTACCAAAGGATTAGCAAAAATTAACAATTATCCAATACTTACTTGAAAAATGCAATGAGGAGATTAACCATAATTATGTACTGTACAAAGAGGTAGACAGCTTGAAGAAATGGGGTCAACCATGTTCCTGGGCCACAGAGATGAGTAACTTTTTCATCAGAATCATTTGCACATACTGAGTTGGGAAAAAAAGAGATACAGAGAAAATACATACAAGTTTTAGAACTCCCAGCAGATATGGATGGGCAGAAAAAAAAAAAAAGATCACTTATAAAGATTGCAACAACCAACTACAATGCACTGATTCTGCAATTCAAAATGTCTCCATGCGCTTAGAAATATGGTAGAAAAATACAGGAGACAGTTTCTGGTTAATACTATGGTATAATCATATTATCGGATTTTTAAAGAGAGTAATACATCATCACAGCCAAAATTTTTGGCATTTCCAGCTGTGGTGGAAAATTACAAAATCTTGCTAGGAATAGCCTTGTGAGAAATTGTGATTAAGCAGAGTTTTCATTCTAAGCCATTAAAGCTTTATAAAGCATAACGAAAAAGTCAAATCAAGAAGTTACACAGCTACAACCCACAAACAGGAGGTAATCCAACGAATGGAAACAATGTCAACAATACTGGGCATTTAATAAAATTAGAATTTCATAAGACCTTGAGAAGATCTTATCACAGTAAGTTTTCTCCCTAGTTGCTTCGAAATTGCAGTATCTTACCATCAATTTCATACGCATATACTTCACCAAAAATCATCCAGTATGGATGAAACACAATATCTCTAGCAAGAGTCCAAGACGGTGCCTCATCAGGATACAATATTGCCTTCCTGGGCACACCAAAACTAAGTAGTACAAGTGCCATAATCACCACAATGTAAAACATGTTGGCCACCTATTAACACAAAAAAGTCAGTTAACCCGCAAGGTCATAATTATGATTTCACAACTTTAAACACTTTTACGTTGACAGTGTAAGCTTGATGAATTCTATGTATTATGCAAGGAAAAGAGTCTAGCACATCTATATTTCTCTCAGAAAATGTTGTTATATAACAAATTTTTTTTTTCCTGTCCTTTCTTACAGCGTATTTAATATCCTCAGCCAAAGGTAACTGAGAGTATTTCCTTTTCAATTCAAATATCCATTATGTAGATGAGTAGCAGCTGATAAAGAGAAACATTCCTTCCCAAATGCACTCAAAAGCTGCACAGAACACAGAGGTAGTTTTCCTAGGGCTGAAACACAGAACCTATGCCTCTTGCAAAGAATCAAAGGGAGAAACGAGCAATTTGATGCCCTAATTTTTAAGGAAATACAGGCTTCAACTTTGTAGGAACCATTTTATAGGGGGAAGAAAAACAAACACCACTTCCACCTTTGTATATACAATTCTCAAGCTTTAATATATTATTTAACATTTAGCTTTACTATCAGTGCGCTATGCTAAGTTATTTATTTTTAAATTTAAACAATTTGAACATTTTTTGTGGAAGACACGACAAGAACAGAGTCACAATCTATTCCTAGATTTCCACAGCACAAAATACGACGTTGCTTTAAGACACAAAACAAGTTCAAGTCTTGCACTAGAGAGTGCAAAGGCAAGAAAACCAAGACCATAAATAAATCTCAGACCCAGAAGGGAAGCAATGCTAGATGAATCAAGAAAAAGGCATCATCATATTCATTCAAGTCTCTGACATCTAAGAACAAAACAGACCAGTGAAGGAAGGTTTGCCAGCTTCTTACTGATATGACAGAAAGCTCTGTAATAAAGGAAGCCTTCTAATCAGTGCTTGTTTTGAAACACGTTTATTCCAAGCTAGCTAATTCTGCACATCGAGTTGTTGACGTATTTCACCAGGATAAACAACCTTTTCCTAAATAAAACTTTGAGAAAAGCTGTAAATGGATGCTGCAAGAAAAATGAATTTCAGTCAGGAAAAAAACGCAGTAACAAAACCAGTACTTACCATCTTCCCAATCATCATAACATAAGGGCCAGCCTGTTGATTTACAGCTAGAAAATCCAGTAATCGCACATACCAAAAAATTATATTGAGACAGTACGTTATTCTTCCAGCAACAAAGACGTAATTTTCTCTGTAAGTGTTTTCACCAAAATTCCCCTTTGCTCCAAATCGTAATGCAAACCCAATGAAGAAAGTGACAATGGCAACTGTGTCACTAATATTGAAGTAATCACTGAACCACACTTTAATCTTCTGATTAATCTTCCCAGCCTCTGACATAAAAATCTGCAATGAAAACAAAAGTCAGGTCTGCTCACGTTTATTGCACATGGACTAACAATGAAATATAGGAATCACTAACATTTTTATACTTGCAAAAAAAGAAAATATCTATTCAAATGGATAACTGTTTTACACTGAGGAATCAAAACCAGTGTTTAACTGTGTCAGCTTCAAAACAGGGACAAGGAGGATGTAGGTTTCCTTCTGTCTGAATGATTTATGAAGGAATTTTGGTTTGGAGGTTTCTTGGTGCTGTTTTTTTCTTTTGAGGCAGTTAGTGTTACAAAAATGAGCCCTACTTTCCACCCCTTCAGCTGGGCCTGAGGTACCAAGTTAATGAAATAGCCTTCTCATTCGAAAATTCTTATAGAATTTGTCAGAAGTCTCTTGCTGAACAGCAATGTCGTAGCTGTGATTTCTATACTGTCTCAATAAAGCTCTTCTTGTGTTGTCATCTCTTTCATAGCACAGTGCTAGAGTTTGATTGACACTAATAAATAAATACACATTTCATCCTTCACAAAAGTAAGGTTGTTTATTTCAACACAACTTCTAGACAGTGAGTTACAGATACTCCAAAAAAAAAAAAAATCCTGAGACCAGGATGTCATTGCCAGTTCCTTGCAATTAGGAGGAAAAACCCACCTCCTTCCCACTGGAAACAGAAGAAAAGCAAGCGAAGTCTGAGAAACATTGATATTGAAACTAGCAACCTATACCAAAGTTTAAGATAAAGGTACTCATGTACTCTGATTCTTGAGTTTCTTAGGTTCTCTTCTTTATAAACAGTTTTAAACCTACTGTTTCAATGGACAAAGAAAACTAAAATCCCAGATTTTTACCTCACGAATCTTCTCAATTGCTGATGTGAAAATGTAAGCAATAACAATCCATTCTTGAACAGATGGTAATTCTTCCATTTTTACAAGAACCACAAATGTGTACAGCATGAGGAATCCTAAGTAAGCCAACTAAAAAAAGCAGTGAAAATTATACATACAATTAGTGAAGGGTTCTTCGTAAATGTGCATGGAATCTTTTGATGCGCCATCTAAAAGTTTCAAGTAGGGTTAACAGTACTATATTTACCCCTTTAAGCAGACGAGTTATTTAAGGGGATAAAAACATTTTCTTCTTAGAAGAAGAAAAATAGCTGTAATAAGCTATTTATTGTTAGCAAAGCTTTGCTCTTGTTACAGCTATTTTTCCTTTAATATAAATTTTAGCGTTTCTATTACACTAATTTAAACAAAGCTGTGCATGAACACTTCTGTCTAATAAATGATTAATTTCATCAGTTGCTAGCAGGAATTCTGTAATTATTCAGGCCAGAATAAAAATGTTCACGCTAATTACTCTCTTAGCTCAAAAAAAAAGAAAAAAAAAATTCTCAAAGCCAACATCATGAACTTAAAAAAGCAAAACCCTAACCAGAGAGCACTGCATGTGCATATACAGTTTTTCAAAATCAAGTACTTCTTGTTTCCAGCTTAGCAAGGCAAGGGGGTTTTTCATTTGTTTTTAAAAAAGTGCTTAAACTTGGATTCAAGTCACAGAGCTACATGTTGGGAAGAGAACTCAAAAATCTGTACTAGATTTCCAAAGAAATATACATTACACAGAACAAAACTCACCGTATTAAACCAAAACTTCACAATAGGTGCATGATAAAATGCATAAAATTTCTGTGTAATTGGAAGTCTTTTAGGTTTTGCTGGAGTGTCCATATCATGCTTTTCTAGAGTACTGTCCAAGATCCTTACTTCTTTAAATACCTCCTAAAACGAAAGGACTATTAACTTCACATACAGAAATACATGCTTTTGGACACTCATTTTAGCTCTTGCTTTGATTTAAAAATGTAATTATCTATTTTAAGTTAGAAATATTGGTTTTAATATCTCCCCCTGCCCCACATTACCATAGGTATTTCATCTGCTGCATTCTGGAAGTTGTTTTCACTGTCATCCATTGCCATCTGATGTGCATCTTGAGATTGAGGAATATGTGACATTTCAGCCTTGGTCTTATATTCCAACAGTAGTATAGCAGGAGGGAGTAAAATACTCAGTATCACCTGGAAAAGATGAAGACTAAGTGCAAATAGTTCACAGCTACATTAAAGTATCAGAATACATCAACACAGAGAATATCCTCCAAAATCTATTATCCAAATTTAACTTGCTTGTTAATGAGGAGAAAAAAAAAAAAGTAGAAAGCAATTAGTTGCTATTACATATATACACACTTAAGAGGCTAAAATCACATATGCAGAGTGTTCCCTTGACCTCAAGATATAGCAAAGGGTAAGAATCAACAAATCCTAAAAGTAAAAGTCACTAGGTAAGAATGTACTCCAAGCCTGAAGATCCAGAGTTCTGTTGACACTCTGTTTAATTCCCTCCCAGAAACACTGGAACTGTGTACTGTTGAGGGGTATTTAAAAAGCATATAAAAGCGGAGGTTGCGGGTCTGGATTTTTTTTGGGGGTGAGTAGGGGGGTTTGTTTTGTTTGGTTTCGGATTTCTTTCAACTTATGGTAGAAAAATGAGCTAAGGTATGGATGAAAAGAATAAGTGAAAGCTATTTATTGTCATTAGTCTGTTACAAAGCAAGAAAGAAAGTGGTTAATCAGTTATCAAAAAGGATTTTAGTAGGTCACAAGTTAAACAATGTTTGTAGATATTTTGTAGGAAAGTTGTATTCCATGATATTCCTAGCAACAATGAAGTTTTGGTAGACCATCTCAAAGAAATAGGCAACTTCCATTTTGGTTCAATTGATCTAAACCACAAAGGGCACCATTAGAAAACCTATTCTTGATTTGCCTACCCTTGTTTCACTCTGTGCCCTGCTTCTGCTCAGCTTCTTCCTCCAAAATAGGATTTAGACAAAGCTTTTCTACATCAAGTCTTATCTGCTGCCTCTAAAAAGCCAAAATGCATGAAGTTATATTCTTACAGCAGTTTTTCTGGCTGTTAATGTTTTTTATCACTATGTTTTTAGTAATGGATTAGTATTCACATGATCTCTTTAAGCCTCTGATTAAAGGCTACTTGCCTGGTTTTTGCCTTCTATATTTCTGTACCTTATTTGAAAAGATAATAGAGTGTCAAAAGAAGAGTTAACAATAAATACTTCCAGTTTCGGTTATGTTATAGGAAAACTGTTTTACAGGATTTATTAACATAAGCCATAGTTGTGAAAGCTTTATACTAACAGCATTTAAACACATGCTTTCCATCTATTTAAAAATAAATCCCGTCAACCTTTTTTACACCAGTAAACTGCGACAATGCTTACTTTGTACCATGAATTCTTCCTCATGTTCAGCCTTCCCATCCACATATCTGATAACAGCATTTGTGTACAAGTATGTGCTACAAATGGACGAAGTCTTGATGATACCGCTAGCTTCAGGCAAGTTGAGTTGCTCCAATTTTTAAGCTCATAGGTGAGCAATTTCATTGCCATAGTTTCATCTTGTCGGAAGGACTGTTCTAACAGTTCAACTGCCAGTTGACCAAACTCACTAGAATAGAAAAAAACAAAACAAAACAACACAAACCACACAACAACAAAAACTTTAGTATCTACAGAAATGACCCTGCAGTTAAGTCGAATTTTCTTGTACAGTCAAATTCATAGTAGTGCAACTTGAATGGACTATTACCTGTCCCTTCTGTATAGATATACTGTACAGTAATTTGTAACTACAACATGTGAATCTGTGACTTCTGTTAAAAACATATGCAGGCTACAAATAGCTGTTAAAGCATGCAAGGAAATTACATGGAAGTAAATAATGGCACATTCAGCGTCATTTTAATTTAAATGTAAATCATTACTTGTAACAGCTCTCAAGAGAGAGCAATATCTAATATAAGACTTCTATTAGACTGCCACTTAATCCTTTTTGCAAAAAGGAATTGTCTTCAAGTGTGCTAATAGAACAGTTTGGGGTTTGTTCTTATATAGCCCACTACTTTTACTGTAGATTTCAAGAAAAGATCTTGAACAAGATAAATGTAATTTACTTGGAATATTGTTTCAGTTCTTCTGAAGTATCATCAACAAGGTCACTTTGTTTTGCTTCATACGCCATCGAACGATACACTTTGCAAGCAACTAAGGCTTTTGCCATGGACTCCTCCCCATGCTGCCAGAAGAAGAGGGCCATCTTCTGCCTCTTCATTAACACTGCCCAAAGTAACAGTTCGTTGAGAGGATAAGCAAAACGTCTCGTTTCTGGATCATCTATGTCTACTATTTCATCTTTGGTTCTTTTCTTTTTTCCCTCTTCTGCACCAGTGTCAATCTTTAAAATAAAATCAGAAAGTTACATTTTAGATCTCTAAATTTGGTCATTACAGAACTTGAAATAAAGTGCTGAGAGATCCAATACCAAATTATACATAATTGTAAAAAGAAAAATGAATTTCTGAAGACTTGAAAAGGAGCTGGAACTTTTGTTCAAAAACTTCAGTTGAATCCAACTCATTTTAATAACTGTGAGACTGAATTACTTTGATTTATAGATCAAAAGAAAAGCAGTAAATAGACTTACATACAAACGAGGAAACTCATAGATACTGCTTATAGTAACATATGGCCAACTCTTGCTCCGTCTACAAAGTCACGTGAGTCCTGTGAGTCTCCCCATTGCTAGAACTGAGCCAAAGATAAGCTTTTTCTAACGTATCAAAGCTTATCCAGAAAACTACTATACAGAAAGAGAAACAATCTACAGGATCCTGTAGGTATGCTACACAGTTTTTAAGTACAAAGCAAGGCTGAAATTCCAGCTCGACCAAAGTCAGTAAAACTGCTGCTACTCACACTCCAGTGGCACTTGGATTTCAACACGGTTCTCCACTCTTAACCACTTAAAAGAACCCCCACCATGTTCCCCTCACATCTGTACCTTTGGTTTGTACGGCTGCGCTGTTTTGATGAAGTGATTATGGCGCATTTTTTCCTTCTTGTCTGCCCTGTTACCAAAAGACTCATGGCTTTTACACATCTGAGGAGTAGTATTTGAAGGATTTCGCCCAGATCGCTGTAACAAGAACAATAAGGAGCTTGGTTGGGAATAGAAAAGAATACTTCAATTGGAAGGGATCTATAACAATCATCTTGTCCAACTGCCTGACCAATTCAGGGCTGACCAAAAGTTAAAGCATGTAGTTAAGGGCATTATTCAAATGCTTCTTAAGCACTGACAGGCTTGGGGCATCAACCACCTCTCCAGGAAGCCTGTTCCAGTGTTTGACAACCCTCTCAGTAAATAAATGCTTCCTAATGGCCAGTCTAAGCCTTTCCTGGTGCAGCGTTGAACCATTCCTGTAAGTCCTACCACTGGAGCAATTACACAGTTACTTTGCTACTGAAACAGTGACGAGCTTACATAACAGCAACAACCAGAATTTTCACTGGATATTTAACAAGTTTTTTCTTGGTTTTTGTTTTGTTTTTTAAGAAGTCACAAAGTAGGCAGTTACGTTTGTTGCTTTACAAGAAGCTAAGATACCTGCATCTCGAGCCCTACTGAATCTGTGTTTGGTGCCCATTCTTCCGCAATGAGTAGGAAAAGAGGGAATAAAACAGAAAGTATTAATATGTGCTAGAATAAGGAGCAGGAGAACAAAATCTTTTGTTTGTCCTCAATCCCAAAACCAACTGCCCTCAGGTCTTACTATGGCCTTTAAAAGAACCAGTCCATTGAGATCCAAATAATATGGATCCAATACTTCTCCAAAATATGTTTTTTTTTTTTAAATTGAGAACACATGAGTCAGCATATCCTGTTATCCAACTGCCACATACCCGATTGTTCCCGCTGAGACTATTGTATATAGCTCTAAAGCGTTTTCTTGTATAGGTGCATCTATAGGTTCCTCCCATCAGATATTCAATAACCAGTCCCACATCGATCAGGTTGATTTTATATCCTGGAGGAAGATTTCCCTAGGAATATAAAAGGTATTTTCAATTCTTAAAATTATAATCTTAATCTTGCTCTGAGTGTTTCTACATGTTACATCATGACTGTAAATAAAAACAAATTAAACCTTCCATGATTAAAAAAAACACCCCACATCTTCATGGTCAACATTTACCAGTTTCAAAAAAGACAAGGTTATAGCTTCTTTTCTGTATGATCTCCCCTAGCAGGGTAGATGTTAATTCTGTTGGGGGCAGTTTTTGTCTATTGTTTTAACAGACAAAATTACTCCTAGCTGAGAGTATCAGCTTTCAATTCCCCCAAAAAGCAAAACAATCACAAGTGAGATAAAAAAGACAACATACATCAGGTTTAACATCTCTCTGGCAGTAGGGCACTAAGCATAAACCAACAAGTATTGGAAACAACAGAATGACTGCAGAGTTAGGTTTTGTTGTAAATAATAAGCTAATTAATAAACCTAAGATTAAATCGACAATAAAACATGAGTAATCATCAAAAAACTAACATTGCTAGTTTGACAGATTTTTTACGTTTAC